GAAGGGAGGGGAGCTTGGAAGAGCTGTTAATAGGAAAGTAAAAAAAACCAAACAAACATTAGAGTCTGACATTGTTACAATAAAGGTGAATTTCTGTGGATTATAAGAAAAATTGCTTATTAATATGGCAAGCTAATAAAACAACCTTTTAACTAAAGACTGATCTTAATTTGTTTCACATATTAAGAATTTGTGCATGATAAATGTGTTCTTTGAGTCAGTAACTCTACATACTTACTGTGACAAATGTTTATTGTTCTGTTATATTTATCATCATTGGGCTCAGTCTTGCAGGTAAAAGTTGAGCCTTTTTCCCACAATGTCATATCTGGCCTAAGCTCACTGCTCAGGCTGAAGATTTTCTCCTCTCCTCCTGCACTTTGTAGCTTCTGTGTGCTTGCCTTATTGCTTCGATCCAGTTTTTTTTCATCCAGGAACCACCCCAAAGTCAGTTTGTCTGAAAAGAAGCCACTCAATGTGCAGATGAGCCTTACTGTTGAGATTCCAAATTCCCCATCCCAGACTGAGTACAATGTGATGTTTGCTGAGAACTTCCGAGGCACTGAGAAAGAGCAAATATTAGTTTGACTTTACATGCATAATTATAAATATTAGGTATTAACGCAGCAAAAAAAAAAGTTAATGTCATCTCAGTTATACATACCTTCAGATTTTGGTAAATGAGGAAATGTTTCATTTCAGTTTTAAGTGTAGTGTGTTTGTCTTTAGGCTAGATGGCAGAGTTATAATTTTACATTGTTTGTTGTTGCTGTGTCAGGTGAAGATAGGGCAGGAAGTCTGTTGCACAGTTGTTATGCATGATAGGGCAGAGTGATCAGGGCAAGCAGCAAGCGGAAGCATTGAGTAACACCCAGGTCTCAAAAAAGTACCAAAATACAGAAGTGAGAGAATGCAAAGAGCAACGGAGCATCACAGACACCAGGTGTGAGGTGTGGTTATGCCAGTAAGAGAAACAAAGTGCACATTTACATTTCTCATGTCAGTTTGCATGTGTACCACATGTATTTTATTTCACATCTCATGACTTTGCCAAAGGTTTTAGTTCTCAAATCCTCTAATAATAGAGTAAAACGCAACCGACTGTAAAATCTACCACTTTGCATATTTGGTATAGCATGGGCCGCTGATTCCAGATGCTGTGGATGTGATGAACAGAACTGTATATTAGAGTTTAAAAAAGGACAAAATATTAAATACATATAAATAATATTTAAAATGCATCAAACTTTTACAGATCAACCTTCAGATAATGTAAACAATTTCAAAATAAAGCAAGAGAAAGACAAAATTTAATCTTAATTAAAACATTTATTTTTAAAGACAGATAAAGCTTTTGCAGTTTAAAAAAGGCAGTTGTGATTACTTACATGATACTATGAGATTATATGAAAAAAAATGTTTGAGAAATATTTTTTTCACCACACACAACGGTCCTTTCACAGTCCATTTGTTTTATTTGACCTGTTAAAAAGACAAAAAAAAAAAATAGTGAACTTGGAGCAAAAGGATTTATTTCATACTGCTCACCACTACTTCATTATAAATAGTGTTAATGCATGAAGTTACATTGCTACACATATATCAAAAAATGTATCAATACACAGGAAACTTATAATGCTGAACGTTTATTTTGTAGTTGGTTAAATATAGTTCCTGAATAAACTTAGAAGGAACACTAATTTAATATCAGCTGAAATTCACTTAGGAGGTCAAACTAACAGTTGCAGACAAAGCTGCTTATAATAGATTGTTACACAGTATTAAGACAATTTCTAAATGAATTTACTTTCAATAATATGCATTCAATTGATTAAGGCATTCAGAAACTTGCCATCTGGACATAAAGCACTGGGATATACATGCTACACTGGAAAATAAAGAAAAATGAATTCAAATAGTAACATTATGTAGTGTAATTATCTTTTAACTTACACATATAAAATTGGTTTAAATCAGAGATATGAACATATTTTATATGTTTTGACATTGGCATAGATTATTCCACACAATATCACACAATTTAATGAGTTTGATAATCACTTTTGTCACCATATCTTAAATATTGTAATCAACCACACATGCCACACTGATTTTGAAAAAGCTTCATTTTGATCTGACACGATTTTGTCTTTATGGTCTTCCAACATATATATATGTAATAGAAATTACACTTGCTGCTTCTGACTTAAAACCCTTGTCTTTGTCCATACAGCTCGATCTTTGAGTAGGGCGATATCAGCATGATATCAGTTGGCCCTTGAACATTCAACTATTAAATTATGTTTTTATACAATTTCAGCACTCTAAGTGAATTTTAGCTGATATATATTGTTTATATGATATTAGCAACAACTGTATAAAGATAATTAAATTCACAACAACAGCTGAATTGTGAAGTAGGTAATCCCTCACTGGGATAACGTGAACCTTTTTCTTCCTTTTTTAATTGTATTAAATAAATCTTACATTGGTTTATTAAACTGACATAATCATAAGTGCTTCTAATGTGCATAGATACAATTTTTTCTGTAATCAGCATTTTTTTAGTTTTTTTTTACAATAATTTGAAAAGTTTGAGTTATTCTGACTCATGGTTAAAATGCAGAATGCTAACTGAGTTTTACTTTTTCCTATCATGGCTACGTGCTTGATGAATGTAATCTGTCATATTGCTCATTGCTGAGTTAAATCTGCACACAATGCCAGCACATTAATTTCTGATTACCTTGATAACAGTTGTTCCAAAGATTAACAGCAGAGTGATGAGGAAGAGAAGGATGAAGACGATGGCTACGCTTGCTACATTATCGTCTCCAGATAGTCCAGGGTGATGAAGCTCCAGAGAGTCAGCGATGAGAAGATCTAGATGAACAAAATTTATTCTGTCAAATAATAGGACATTTGACATCTCACTTTGAAACACACATTGTACGATGGGAACTTATAGATTT